TTTTTTTTTTTTTTTTTTTGTTGCATATTTTATTAGGAAAACATTGAGAAATTAGCAAAAGTTACATAAAATGCACCAATTTATGCAATTAATTAAAAATTTATATTAAAATTTAATCTAATTACTCGTACTTTATCATACAGTCTAGTAAAAGTAATGTAAATATAGCATATGATAATTGCATGATTATGTATGATATGATAATTTTGATAAAACTAACATGTATGATAATTTTTAACAGTAGTTAGGATTAAAATATTCATATAATTGTTTAAAATAAAAAAGATAAATTTTAATTAAAATGTTATTTTTTTGTTGATCAAAACTTTCGTACGGTTCTACTCATTTATAAATTTTTATTAAACAAATGATTTCAGGATATATTTATCGATTTGGTATTAATTTAATTTTATAAATTTTATTAATACTTTGATTTATAAATTTGATAATTAATACTTTGTCTCTTTTTTGTTTTCCTACAATTGTTTAAAATTTCCGAAATAAAATTTAACCTAATTCAGGTACTGTACTGCTTGTAATTTTAATTTTGCTCATTACTGGAAGTAATGGTGCAAGTTTGGATATTGCACTTGCATTTGCACGATATGCAGGAGCAAAATTTACATTTGAAGAGGCTAACTTTCATTTTCTTTTCAAATTTTTATTTTTAATTTATTGATTTTTTGAATATGAAAGAAGTAATTTTCTTTGATGTATAAATTATTAATTTGGCAAATTAATTATATCTCTACAAAATTGAAAAATGAATTTCGTATTAAAAAAATTTTTTTTTTTTGCATAATTTAGGTAATCGAAGTGATGCCTGATATTAACAAACCATTGGATAATATCGCTGATGCATTAAGACTTTCACCGCTTGCATTAGCTATGGCAAATGAATTTGTTTTTGATATTTCTAAAATATTAAAGTAAATTTTCCGCCCATTTTTTGTTATTTTTATTAAATTTCTTAATGTAAATGATAATTTTGATATGTAAAAATTAAGAATTTATGATAATTTGATGAATGAAAATTCAAGAATATATTAGATAAGCAAATTGTTATCAATATTATCACTATATCAGTTATTAATATATCAAAATTACCTTAATATAACCATAGAAATAAAGAGAATCGGAAAAGTTTTGCTCTAAATCTGATAACTGTGTGAGCAAATGTAATATGTGCAATAATTAAATGGAAGAAAATAAAGAATTTTTTTTGTGAGAAAAATTTTTTCATTAATTATTTATTTGATTTAAGTAGTAATTTGTTCAGAAAAAAAAGTTTTCGCAATCTAATTTTAATTTAGATAATTCTTTGTATTTCAGATTTAATCATTTAAGTAAAATTTAAATATTTAAATCATTTGAAAATTCTGGAATTTTTCAATTTTGCAACAATATTAGCAAAAATTGAAATATATATTAACAGAAATTGATCAACAAAAATATATTAACAGAAAAATTTTTAATTTGAATAATTCTTTGCATTTCAAATTTATTCATTTAAGTAAAATTTAAACATTTAAATCATTCGAAATTCTAGAATTTTTCAATTTTGCAATAATAATATTAACAAAAATTGAAATGTAAATATTAATTTTAGGAAAATGGCATTTGATCTTATCATATTCGGCTATATTATCCCATCAATGGTTATCATTTTTGTAACTATTCTTACATGTTGGTATATACGTGAAGAAATTCGTAATCTTTATCCAATGCTTGTACCGGTTTGTTAGCAAAATTTTTGTCAAAAAAAAAAAAAAAAAAAAAAAAACAAAGAATTGCAATAATGATAGATAATTTTTTTTTTTGAAATAATAGATTAAATTATTTCTGAAATTATGAATTGCTATTTTAAGTTTATCAAAATTTTCATTAATTTATTATTTTAAGCTTAACCGAAAAAAAAAAACTTTTATTAACAATAATGATAATAAACTTTAATTTTATGCTTTACTAAAACTTTTATTAATTTATTTATATTTTTAAACTTTCATTAATATAAAAATTAGTGATAAGGATAAAGGAAAAATAGACCAAATGATAAGTGATAATAATGATAATTAATCAAATATTTCTCCAAATTTTTTATTCTTCTTTAAAAAAAATAAAATTTCGTGAAAATTTTAAGTTTCCAATTGCAAAGAAAGCATGTGAGAAATTTCTTCAACGAATGGACAAAAAAGTTGTTGAAAAATTGAGGAAGAAACAGGACGAGAAAACGATACTAATGACTCTAAGTACAACTGAAAATTATATGACTTGAAAAAAAAAAAATGAAACTATGATGTCACCAGATGTGTCACCAAAAACTTTCAACACATTTAAAATGATCATTTCGATATGTTTGCCATGGTGAATGTATTTCAAATTTTCCATTTCACAATCATTCATTAAATTTGGCATTAATATTATAACAAATGATTCATCCTTACTAACTAATCTATTTTAAATTGTAATTTAAATTCTTTCCACAAAATAAAGCAAAATTTCGAATATTTGCTTTTGTTCACTTTGAGTGATCACATATTTGTGTTCCGAAAAACAATTCCGGTTTACCGATATATAATCGGATGAAATTGTTATGAAATATTTTCTTTCTTTTTTTTTTGTCATCTTGTATTCCGGAATATGTCATGAACTGAATGCATTATCCATCTAAGAATGAGCAAGGTAAGTAAGTAGGTAAAATTTTAAGGTAAATTTATTAACCACCATATGTGACAAATCAAGGTAACGTTTGACATAGATAAAGGTGTTATGTAAGTTTTTTTTTCGTCATCTTATATTCCGAAACGTATCATAAGCTGAATGAATTATTCATCTAATTAACAAAGTTAATAAGTCATTCAATTAACGAAATAAGTAAGTTTCAAGGTAAATTTGTTAGCCATCATATAAACCCAATTAAGGTAAGATAGGAATAAAGTAAGTAAGCAGCATAGATAAATTTTGAATAAGTTCATCGTATAATAATAACATAGCAAGAAATGACAGAAGTAATGGATACTGTAGTGAGATTAATCTGATGAAAAAAAAAAGGTATGATTTATAGTCTAAGCCTAAAATAGATTAAGTTATAGTTTGGTTAGTTTTTTAATTTCAAATGATAGGTTGAATTATATTCGTATAATTGCTTTTTAAACTTTTTTTTTATACAGATTAAATTAAATAATTAAATAAGTAATTAAATAAGACCAATGATTATTTGCGAATTCTTTTATAGCTATTTTAAAATGACAGTTTATATTAATTCAATTTAAAATCAATTTTAAAAAATGACAAAATACATTATTTATACTACAAAAATACACTATTTAAACTAATTAGTTTTAAAAAATGACAAAATATACTATCTAACTGTAATAGTTTGTCATGTTGAATTACAATTTAGTTAGAATCATCTAAAATTTAATTTTTTGTTCAATTTGATTTTTTTTTTTGTTCAGCGCAAATTGGCGTATCAAAAAAAAAGACAAAGAGAGGGAAAGTTTATAAATTTGGTCAAATGATAATTTGATAATATAATTTAATTATTGTACGATTTATCAAAAAAAGAAAATGATACCAATTTCTGATCACTAAACAAAAAAGAAAAGAATAGTGGAAAATGTGATATATTTCCGATATTTTCCGGAAAACCTAAATAAACCATTCCAATTTACAATAAACCGGAATGATTTATTCCAGTTTACAATAAACCGGAATGATTTATTCCAGTTTACAATAAACCGGAATGATTTATTTATCGTAATAGAATAGAATGAAAATTGTAAAAATTTCTTTTATTAAATTTTCCTAATAAAACCATTTTTCATACAACTAATTTCATCTATACCTTTTCAAAGTAACAATTTTCCTTTTTTCTTTTTTTTTTTTTTTTCACTTTCTCACCTTCTTTTCATTCATAGAAAAATATTTTCGTGTTTTCTTCTTATTGAAATTTTATTAACATACTTTCGAATAAATTAATAATCTTTGATCTGAATTTTAAAAAAAATTAAAAGTTCAATTTTATCAAATTTTATTGCTATTTTAATTTCTTTTTTCTATTTTTTCTACTATGAAAAAATTTCGTAATAAAAATTTTTATTTCTACAATACATAGTAAATATTATAAAAATAATTTATGTAAAGATTTATGATTTATGAAATTTGATCGAAT